GTTGTTTGGTGCAATGTTTACCTGCGGTAGCGGCTTCATTGTACCCCATTTTATCTAATGCTATCCATTTGTCCACCATTTTAATAAATCATTCAAAAGTTTTCTCTGAAACGATAATGTTGAGTCATTACGTCAGTATAATTATCAAATTTGAATCTTTAAATGGGAAATCTTATCTGTGGTTTGGAAAAGGCAGGAAATGAATTAAAATTCAGCAAAGTCGCAATCTGGACGTCCTAGGACTTCTTTTGATGCATGCAATTCCATAATATTAACTACAGACACAAATCCCAAATTCTCTTGATAACAGAATTTATCATTCCTTGGGTATTCGACTTTTCACTTTCTCTACCCTTTTGTGGATTTATATGCATGATCAAGAAAAAAAACTGAAACAGCAAGAAAGTTAATTAAATTAATTGTACATTTTGACCTGTATCAATTAATTAATAGGAAATTAAATGTTCATCATGCAAACACACTTTCTATCCCAATCCCCCCATTATTATACAGTACTATACAATATTCACGTTTCTTTCATTGGAATTTTTTACATAAAGAATTATGTCATATATTTGTGACACAAACAGAAGAATCAAGCACTAGATTGTGGGGGTAAATACACATTAGTTTTTCATTGTGAGGGTAATTAGTACGTTGGACAGAAGGAATTAATGGAGATCATTTGTATCATGTTCAGTTGCTACAAAGAAAAGATGGAGACATGGAAAATGACAGCTTCCGATCGATGCACGTGACATGACCTGCCAATTTTCATTTGCTGGCGGATGTCATAATGGCGGATTTTCGATTATTTCACAATGGTTGTCATTAAAAGTCGTCAACTCTTCGAATAATGACCTCAAAAGTATAAGTGCTTGGTAAAGAAAAGTGACAATATATGATTCATATTCCATTTAATGTAATAATTTGTTTGGTAATGATCTAATACCCAAACATAGAGATAAGCCGTCTTGGCCACGGGCATTAAGAACATTCTTGTCAGTTTATTTCGCTCAAACCATACAACATGGTACATGAGGAAAATATGCACACTGCCTGTCACAGGCATTGAGATATTCAAAAATGGTTTTAAAGAAGCATATATGGTGCTCTTTAAATGAAAAAAAATTGTTACATGAGAAATTCAACTTTATTGTTGTGGTAAACTTCGGTTTTTGACATGCTTGTATATTTGTTTGTTGTGACCAGTGATTACCCACCCTACGAGAAACATTTGTCTGCAATGCAAACCATGGCTTCACTCATGAAACTTTGCAAACAAGTCAAACAGAATGATTGTTCTGCATAAATTCGAATATTAATTTAAGTTATATTCATTGCAATTACTCTACATAGTTTCCATTTGCTTTGTCGAGTAAATTGGTGCTTTTTCTGGTCCATCCGTCCGCCTGTCACACTTTCTTCTCCCTACTCTTACATTCTAAGCAGTCGTCAAATCTTCTACGATTTTCAACCTGGGGGCAACTACGGTATAAAAGCAACTTGTTGTACAAAAAATTGGTTCTTTGATTGATTGATTGTATATTGTTTAACGTCACTCTCGAGAATTTTTCACTCATATGGAGACTCCACTACTTGCCGATGGAGAGCTGCAAATTTTGTCTTAAACTCGGCTCTCAGGGTCATTGAACAGGGAGGAATCTTTTTCGAGCCAACACCTACTGCAATACGGGACCTCGTATTATACGGTCTCATCCGAAAGACCGGTCTCCACATCCCACAGTGGGATTCGAACCCGCGACGTAAGGATCAACTCCGTACTTTGCGACTCTAGAGCAGACGCTCTTACCACTGCGCCACGCGGGTAACTGGTTCTTTGAACTCCTCTTCCATATTTTGTAATAACCAATTCATCTTTTGGATGGTGATTGGCGGTGTCCTGTAACTGTGCAATAAGGTTTTCGTATTTCTTAGCTGTTGGGGCAAAATGGGGCCAACAAATAATATTTTACCTCAAAACCCTGGTACACTGAACCCCCTCATATTTTTTAAGGACTGCAGCCCAATCATATTTTGGAGGAAGTCTAGATCTGGGTGTACATGTATACATGTCTACTGATGATGTCATAAATTTTAATAGATTGTAGATACTCAGCGAGTAGATTTAACAATAACAGGTGCTCTCTAAAGGTTCTGCAAAATATATATTCTTGGAAGTGACCTTCACACTCCCAGATGTTCCTGTATGTATGTCTTTATGTTATATTGTACAGGAGAAAATTAATGTAAAGTCTAGTTTTCCCATGAAAAAAAGCTCATATTGAGGTCCATATAATATAGATTCTCATTAATAATCCCAAGGACGTATTTACGTCGCTGGCGGCCCTGTTTTTGTATAAAGAGTAAGTCCACCAACTTTATTGAGTAAGAATGTTATCACTGAAATCTGTTTAAAAGTACCCAATGTCAGATAGGAAACACCAAATGATTTTAAAGGAAAACGCAATAACAATGTCTGCATAAGTTATATTTATTCAGTTGTGAAGATGTTCTTGATTAAGAACACTTCAGTTGACTCCAAATCTTCTCTTTTTTTCAATTAACAAGTAAGGGATTTTTGTTTTAAAAGCGATTTATAACTGCACAATTCGCATATACAATTATCTATATACTATAAATACTTGGTCCAGAAATCGAACACCGCCAGACTTACAAATGAAGGGAATTCGATATGGTAATGAAACCTAGCTGATAAGTAACGAGAACCCGTCAACCACACCTACTGGTATTGTATACTATAAACTCTGATAAAATCAAACACTTAGTAGAGTTACAAACTCTAAAGTTAAAATAGAAGATTCAAACATCAAAGTCATTATCGCTTATAAATAGGAATAGCAAGAAAGTATGATGTCTTCATAGGGTGCTGACACAACAAAATGAATTCATTTATTATATATATATCAATATAAACGATAAAAATAACATTCTTATCAAGAAATCATAAGCTTGTAAAGATCATGTCCCAGTTATGTAATAGAATTCCATTTGGAGACGTGGATCGTGCTGCTTATAGCAGACGATCGGCGAGGCTGGAGGCACGACCATGGGTAAACAATGACGTAATCAACATGGCTGTGGAGTCCGTCTGACCGAAGGCACGTGGGTGACGCCATACTGTGGACAAATTGAAACACAAACTTATCCATCACGTTCATAATTGATAAATTAACAGACGATTACGGCCCTCTTTGATCGAGGAGTCTGCAGTCGTGTATTAACCAAGCCAAAACCCGAAGAGAATTTCCAGACGCCTGCATTCTTGCGTTCTTGAAACTGGCATTTCAGAGATGAACTTGCATCTCCCCCTAAAATCTAAAATTTTAGATATATACCCTCGGTATTTGTATAGAAAGGACGAAATTAAATTGTTTTGTGGCTTTATCATGTAGGATCATTGGTTGGCATTTTAAGAAATATCATCTAGGGCACTCTGTCTTGTAATTCCCTCTTCCAAAACATGCACGACTTTTTTTGATGTTTTCATACATATGAAGCGCATGATTTTGACATATCATTTCTCTTGAGATTTTCAACATTTTCTACAAATCTCAAAAATTCCATTAGCCTTCATTTAAATGCCATATGAACACTACAAAACATCTTCGATGACCAGTTGTTTGTTTCCTGAAAAATATTCGAAAACACTCTGTTTTGGATCAGAATTCTAAAAACAAACAATCAGAAAACCTGGGAAATGGTTTTAACACTCAATAAAAGTTAAATACTGGACATTAAAAGCATGATCTGTGAAGCTTTAAGGTTTATCAAGCTGGACATTCTAGGGGCATCTGCGGGGCCTGAAATGGACATTAATAGATAAGACGAATGGCAGTTGTAGATACTGAAAGTTCAACCTGACCAAGGGGCAGTCTAATTGCATGTCATTTGTTTTAAAACCTGCTAATTAGTGACATTTCTAATTAATCACTATACACAAAATACCATCCTTATCAATTTTTGGATGATATTTATGAATCATAGGCATAAGTGTTTTCATTTTTAAGTTTCACTTTAGATGGTACATTGTTTGTGCAACTTTCACTATGCATGCAGATGATACATAGTTTCTGCAAAGCACTTTCAGAATAATTGGATAAAAAAGAACAATACAACAAAGTATTCCACTCTGGTGACAGGAAAATCTTTCCACATATGAAATACTTAAAGTTAAATTGTGATCTGTCATGCATATTTTTTTTTTCAAAATAAGGCCAAGCCTCAAGTCTTTTATTCTTCCCTTGAGATCAAAACCTGATAACTGGTCCAATAAAACTGTAGACCTTCTTGTCATTGAATAACTAAATAATAACTGGATAATTTTAGACCCCGGTCAATTATCTGATCAGATATTATCTTCAACATCAACATGGTGAATTTGTCATTGCCTTCTTAAAATCTCCTAGCCCAATTTGTCCTAATTTTCAGGCTTTTCTTCCCTTCATGTTTCACAATCAGACAATGAAATCTATATTCCTTTCAGCTAATTTTGGATAGTGGTTTTAAATGAATCAGTCAATGTAATTGCTACCACTCCATATACCCAACAAACCATCAAGTTTTTTTGTATGACTGTTATACTCAAGAATTTATAAAAATCCAATTATATCTACCATAAAATTGAATTAAGTTCATGCGAAATTTCTTGCTTGATGAGACAAAATGTAATTTTTGATTTTTTCCTGCCCCTTTTAGCCAGTCTTAAACATCAACACACAAACTTTTGACCAAAAGCATGTTTCTCATGTTTTTTTCCTAATATAGGTGGTAAAACTTTTAACTATAATTTTTTTTTTTTTTTTTTAACAATTTTGTTTATTGTAAAACATACACATACATACAAAGTATATTACAAAAACATGACTGACTGGTTTTATATATTTATCACAGTGTTAAAACTTCAACAAAATTATATATAAGTATACATAAAACAAAAATAAGTAAACATTTCTAAAATAAGGACAGTTTCTTTTCGATAGAAAAAAAAAATAAAAACATCATATCACAAAAGCTTTTCATTCAAAAAAAGACCCATTTTCATAGATATGAATGTGTAAAATATTTTAAAGATATTTCCCGTATGTTTGGAAACAGTCCTTGGAATTTGTCCATTCACTGAACGTTTTTGGTATTGACAGAATCTGATTGGTTGTTGATGTTGTTGTTTTTTGTTGTTGCTGTTTTTGTTGTTGTTGTGGAGTACTGCTTCACACTCCCAGGAGGAAAGCATGTTTTGCTGATGTCCCCATATGCTGAGACATGTCTAGTTGTGGAGCTATGGGGTTGTTAAGTGTAGCATTGAAGGTACCCTTCAGAACTGTATCTTGTATCAGGGGAGAGAACTGAAATTAAAAAAAAAGAAACATCCATCAGTCATGTTTTAAGTGAATACCTAAATTTGTATATTTACGACCCCCAATTTTGTACAAGCATAGCATACTTCTGTATGAAGAGGGATAGCTAGTATATTAGTTTGTATAAATGTTGCAGCAATAAATTTCAGAAACAAACCAGCTTTTATTTGAATAAAATCTGCTATATTAAATGTAAGTAAACAGACAAGGGCAGCTATATATCATGGTGCATTGTCAGTAAATAAAGGCTTGGATCTACCCCATGAGTCACAACATGACATGCCAATTTATTCCCATTTTCTGCACAATGCACACCTGCCCAACTCTCCATTTTATCTCAAGTATTTTTCCATTTAAACAAGCCAGGTCCTATCTGTCATTTGAAAAACAAATAATCCAGAGTAAATTCTGTTTTAAATGATGCAAGGTTATCAATCAATAAAGGTTGACATCATGCTCCAAGGTAGAGGGTATAACATGCATCTCAGCTGTCTACAAAGTTGATCTGCTTGCAGTGGATCAGAAATTAAATGACAGGGAAAGAAATCTAAAGAGGCAGGCCAGGGAATATTTATCAGACCCACTGAAAATCTACAAGAAGTTCTGGATTGGTGGTGATCTGTGATTAATAGTAAGGTCCACAGAGGGTCACCCTGTCTCTACACCTGCTGAATGCTAAAACACTTCTGTCTCGATTACACCTCAACATGAATTAAATGGGATTTAAATTGTAGGGTGATTTAATGCATTCATTATATCCATAATCAGAGAGATAATTACATGGTCTCCCTCATATTTACAGACTTTTATTTTTATAATGTTAATCAATGACACCAATGACAAAAGCTACTTTGGTCCAAACACAAAGGGGCACCACTAAACGGTAGCTTCGATTTTCATGCCTTGATGCACGGACATGCAAACTTAAGTCTCATCAAGTTACACTAATGAACACCCAGTTATTGCAGGTCTGTAATGAATAAAAGTCAATTGAATGGACTGAAATCCAAGTAAGATTAAAGCTCCTTAACTTTAGTGGGTTGCCAACAGAATGTTAATTTCACATAAAAAAAAATTATATGGGTTGATTATACAAATGAACAAAAAGCCCATACAACTCGAGTAAACTGACTCCACTCACTTTACTGATAAGGTAGTTAATTTTAGTTCCAATTTTTCAACAAAATTTTCAATTTTCATATCATCTTCTGTCAATACTAGTCATACATTAAAACTGAAAAACTTTTCAATCAAGATGATTAGATCTGAAGCCTAAATTCTCTGACAAAAACAAAGATGATAAGCTCTGACATAAGTGAACACTGGCAATAAAACTAAATTATCAGGTACAGATAAGGAGAAATTCTTCTGCAGACAAATTAATGGTCAGACATTTCACCGGATCCCTGAGCATGTCCCTTGAATGCAGATAATGGCAAAACAGAAGCAAATGATTACCTCACAAACGAGAGTTTATGTAGCTGAGAACAAGGCTATATTTATTGAAGATAAATTGTCCAGAACTAGATGTTAATTCAGGGTTACTTTATCATTTTGTTGGGTCAAGAAAGTGGAAAATGAGACAAATAAATGTCTTAAACTGGTATATGTATACTGGGACCTTATAATTAAAAGTGTTTCTGCATAGAAGCAAGGACACTGAAATGAAAATGTTTTTTGCTGTAAAAAACATCTGCATCCCCATAAAGTACATGTAGAGCCTTTTCCTACAGAATGATAGTAATTCTTGTCAAATTGGACTCAGTCAAGATTCAGAGATATGACTAGCCACTATGTTTAATCTTCTCTTTTTTATTAAGTGCAAGGCTGTTATTTTCGCCCTCCCACTTAAGCATAGACTTTTATTATTCAACATGAATAGTTAAGCAGATTTTTTCTAATCAAAGCCGGTAAAATAAGTCATTTTTCCCTTTCCCTAGCCAACTCTTATCACAAGGTAATCAAATTAAACAGAGAACAAGCATACCAAAGATCACCAATAAATATTGCAGATTGGACTCAGAAAATAGAAGAGTTCTTATCTAGTCCCACATTCTCTGGGGGTCAGGATAAGTTTTATTGCATAGGAAAAGTTCAGCTGCTGGAAAAAACACACCAAAGACATTCCAAGAAACCTTCAAAAAAGTCAATTATAGAAATTTTGTGACACGTAAAATTAAGTTTTAACTAAATGCACATGCTGCATGGTCATTAGTGTTCCAATTAGAGCCGCAGAAAGAGTTGCTTCTCTCATTAGTGTGAGTTTTTTCGCATGAAATAATAATTTGGTTTCATTTTGAAAATAAGCTGTCTGGTATATATCTGATTATGTTAACAACCTTGTGCAAACTCACTTCTCAAGTGATAAAGAAAGAAACTACATCACACTTATTTAATTAGAAACATTAAATCACAAAAATTCAGAGGCAAAAAGTATCAAGAATAAGGCATAAATTTTGCCACATCATAAGACTGTAGACAAAAATCCAAAGATGTGATGTGTCTTTTTCCTAGAATATACATCATGCTGACATTTGTTTACATCCACAAATATCCTTCCCCGTTTTTGATAAATGTCTTATTTCCAAAATTCTGTGATGTCTCGTGTATATGTTTTGGTTATGCTCCTAAAACTTCATTCAGATTGCTAAAACTGCATAACTTGTCAAAATGATTATCAAAGCAAAGGGTCAACAGCCTGTTGGAATAATATTTCTTTTAGAGAGAAAAAATGTTTTTTCTTCCTCTTGACAAAAATAATCTAGGTTGAATGAGCATATATCTTATTTCAATGTACAGTTAGTGTTTCAGTAAAATCTTACAATTACTTGGCCAGTTCTATACTTTTCAAACAAAGGAACTATGATAACTGCTATTTATAATGCAAAATTAAAAAAAAACAGTTTTAACTATATTTCTTAAAATTCTGGCTTAATTGGTAAGTTATATTTGAAATTTTTGTCCAAACCAAGGATCAGCTATGATTAAATAGGAATTTATAAATCATTGCAGTTAAGGTTAAGATTCCAGAAACACAAGCAAGACAGTATAGATACCAATTACTGTGGATAAACCTATGGGACTTTTATATCCCTTGAAAAGTTGTGCATATTTTTTTGGAGGGGGGATAAATTTTGTCAGAATAAGTTAATAAAAAATTAGAAAGATTAAAAAAATAATTTCCATCTTAAATCTTTTATTATAAATCCATTAGGAAATCATTGCTGACTTTTATCTTTAATTAGATCATGAGATGTTGATCAGAGATGTATGAAATATTTATAATCAAATCTATAAATCTCATTGTTGAAAGACTTCTAAACCTTGATTAAGAGTTAAACAACAATAATTAAATTGTCAATATTTTTTGCTTTAAAAAAGTGACAGTTAATGGATGCATGTAATTGTCATTAATTTTTCCTTTTCAGCATGAATGAAAATGTTAATATTACTGCACAATACGCACTTAACACTGCATTGTCTCCAATTTTTTTTTAAATTGGGGACCTTCGTGAAAATATTTGCCATAATTAAAAATCATATTGAAAAATAAATGTTTAAGAAATTCAGCCCAAGAATAGAGGACCAAATCCCCAGTCGACAGAATAATTGACTTAATTGAACATTGCTTTCCGCTTACAACCTATTTTTTAGGGCTATAAACTCGAAATTACGACAAGTTGATTTTATCTTCAAGTATAAAAGAAGTCTGAAAGCATAAAATTATATTTGTTATTGATACTAATAACAATGAAATGTGAATAAAAAGAAATGCTGATCCCGGAGATAATGTCAAATGAAATTCCCTTGATTTCTGATTTATTGTGATTATCATTCAATTCTTAAAATCACATTCCCCGAATGCACCCATTTCCACCAAGGATTTTATTTAAAGTTGTGGATTGAGAAATATCTAAATAATCAACAAAAAAATTATGTCTACTTTAATCGCCCAAATTTTCATGGGATTGTACGCTGACGTTTTCCCCCAAGGCTAAACAGGACTAGAAACATTCTATAATCTGCAATCAACAAGAGTTAATAACTTTCTATGACGGGATGTTTTTTTTTTTATATTTAACATCCAAAATTTCAAAAGCCCGAGCGGGAAAAAAAAGGTGGTTACTTTTCTCATTTCAAAAGGAAACCTGACGGTGGAGACTGGTGGCTTCTATACTTAAACTCTCTTAAACGACAAAATTGAAATGTTTTATTAGATTGATACACAATGTCAGCTTTGAAAAAGAAACTGTATGGGTCTAGAAAAATATAATTACAAATCTATGAAGCATAGCCAACGCAGATGACAAGAACATTTCAGACTGCCAACAGAGATTGAAAGATTTCCATCTACTTTCATGTTATTTCTATGATTTGGCTGTGGTGCAATAAAATTATGATCTTTCTTTTCTTTGCTATATGGTAAATACTTTTTCATCAAAAGGCCTGTACCACAGCCAAAATAAAAAAGTCTATATAATCTTTTTTATCTTGTGTTATGGGATAATGCTCAAAGCCCAGCAGTAAGACTTAATGCAATAGATTACAGAGACAAATTGGAATCTTAGATAGGGGGGTTAATACAGGTTCATGCATAATTAAATCTATTAATTGGAGGAGAAAAAGATACAACATAAAGAAATGAAATGTTAAGAAAAGTCTTAAAGATTTGTTTGTACTAAAAGTGATATAGATCACAGAATAAAGGAATGTGTCCAAAAAATAATAAAAATAATTTTTCTTATCAATTTTTATTGTCTTTTGGGATTGATGACTTAGGAAATTCATCATTGTGACACAATGCTACCAAAAAGGCTGAAATCTGCTTTTGTTTTAGAACTGAATAAAAAATTTTTAGGGAAAATATATTGCCTTCCTCTGATTATGTCTGAAAAATGAGACCAAGTTCTTTGAATAAAATATTCTAATATTCCTTAATTGGAGGGAAATTCTTAACAGATAAGAATTAACATTAACCAGAATGCATTTATAAATATATATTTCCTGTTTCCAAATATTTTCTGAAACGTAAGAGGAGAAATTGTTTCTAAATCAATACATAAATATGTAACATCATATATAAAAGGGTTTATCGGCTGCATCCAAATATGGAAGAAGTAAGACAGACAGGAGAGTTAAGTTTTATATTCTGTACTGATTTAAACCAAGAAACCCCAGTAAATCACTTACTCTTTCTCAACAGACTCAAGAAAACCCCTCATGAAAATTGCATTCAGACATGCTATCATTAACACTGTACACAACTTACAGTTCACACTTTTGAAATTTTATGATGACAGCCATGCTTGGTTGTTGGTTAACCTCAGAGGAAATTCTAGTTACCCATGGCCATAAACCAGGTGGGTTTGCATGTTGCTGAACCGTTTTCTGGTTAACTGGTGTCAGAACCAGAATGATCTAAAGCCTTTGCTGATGCTGAAGGGTACGGTACCAGTATTGATTTGAACTTCAATGGCAGATCAAGTAATTGCATCCTATCTTAATCAACTCTTACGTAAGGTGTCAACTAATAATCAATGCTTTGTAGTTCTTGTACACGTTTCATATGTCAAGGGGATTTATAAAACTAATGCTATTGCTTGATATTCTTGTAAGGGAAATGAAAGTTAATATTTGCATATTCAATCAAAATCTTGTTTCTGGTATGGATTTTTGTACATTTTATTGACTGCATACTGTTGTTAATATTTAAGCATGATATATCACATTCCAGAGAGAGAGAGAGAGAGAGAGAGATTGCTGGGAAAAGTTCTGTTTGTATACATGTACTGAAAAATCATTTAATTCATATCTGAACAGTGTCGAGTTTAAAATCCCAAATGAAATTTTTCTTTCTTTCAGAAATTGATGGAACGTCTTGAGAAAAGCCTAGGACTTAGAGCCTTGTGTTTTAATGTTTTGTAATACTGATGGTGATTTAATTTTTTGTCATTCTAACTGCTCCATCATTGTCAATGTTTCTGCAATTATTTTCCCTCTGTATGTCAACCATCATAGCAAGTTCTATAAGATTAAGTTGTAACAGTATTGGAAATTCACCAACAATTTTCCTCAATCTTTTATCAGTGTATATGTAAATTTTCCGACTTTGAAAATGTACTTTTTGCATATTATGCTGAGTTAACAAGATTAAAGGATATAACTGCTTGGTTACTGTACGAATTATATCGGGTGATATGAAAGTCCCAAATCAATGTATTATAGAATTGACATGTTTTTCCAATGATAATTGATCATAATTCCTATAATTTTCAAGTCTTTGGGTCATATAAAATGGAACTTTTCAAAAGAAGTACAGATGATACATTTATGGATTTTTTTTCTCAGAACCATTGTTAATTTCCATTATCAATGGTGCCTAGACAAGGTGGTGAATTTTACTATTGAATTTTTTTTACTAAAATGCATCTCAGGTACTGGAATGACACATTCCAACAGATGGCACTGCATGCATCAAAGTAGATCTCATCCTAATAGCTTATTTGTTCTCTTGAATTTCACAGACTGTTTTTTTTACATTTTAAAAATTCTTGCACAAATCACCTCAACTCTTCACAGGAGTTTATTTAGAGACCTAAAACATGGTAACTAAGATTTGGCTTGACATGTTTATTGGTAAGTTCTGTTCCAAAGATATCAGAGGATTAAGTTGAAGCAAATTAGAAGAACTACAATTGTTCAAAGCATTATAAAAAAACCCTAGGTGATAATATTTCCTCCTCGATATTTGGATTCTAAAATGTTACTGGAATTACAAAACAATCAAGCTAAATTTTTTCAAGAACAGACATCTCTAGACCATTTTATGTGACTGTGAGAATAATATGATGTCTGAGGTTTCGGATTATATGATTTTTTTTTTTGTGTGTGTTGGTAGAATTTTAGAAACTTTATATATATAATTTCTTTTTTATTACATGAAATATTTTATCAATATACCACATGATGAGAAAATATAGAACACATTCTCCCTGAAGGGAACCTATAATATTTAATGACAGTCAAAAAAAATTCTTAAGGCTATTTTAGATTTCCAGTTAAAAATGCAGGGGTTGATAAGGGGACATAAATCTGTAAAGACAAATGTACCAGGGTGATGGCCTGCACATTTCTTTTGCTGCAAGTAAGCCCATAAAGTTTGGCAAAGAAGAAATAATAGGGGCTGCAATTAATGTTGTAATAACCTAATGTGTTGAACTTGTATCAAAATAGTTACCAGGATATATATATAGTACTTAAATTTTCTTTCCATTATTTCCATTGAAGGAGAAAATTCCAAGGATATAAAAGAAGAGTTTTATGTGTGCTGCAAAAATTAAAACTTTCTCAACATTTAAAATCAAATCAAACACAATACAGTGAAACCTGTCTAATCCAGAACTTGTGTATTCTGAAATCTTGCCTAAAATGATGTCAATTTCAAGTTCCCTTCAGTAAAATTAAAATGTTTAAAATATTGTATAATCTGGAATGTTTTTGTCTTAATTATCTAGAATGTTGTTTAATCCATCCAGATTCTCCATAACCAGTGTTTCTGTATTAGACAAGTTTTTAATTACTTTACTTAATTTACTTGGTTGAAGATCATCATTACCTCATATGCCCCTGGACCAGGGCCCTCTGATTTGAGCTCCTTGAATCGCTTGTTCTTGGTGACCATCAACCCTCCCTTCTTATTAATTCCATCCTTGGACTCGTACGCACCTGGACCTACAATTATTAACAATAAAGAGAAAATTAAAGACATTAAGTCAGGGTCAAGAATTTTTATATCTTTTTATAAACTTCATGCAGTAATGTTAGAATTTTTTTTTAATATCTTTTAGTAAAATTTATGCCGTCAGAGTAGGAATTTTTATATCTTTTAATAAACTTTATTCCCACCTATAACATTGAATGCTTTTTAAAAGGCATTTGTATTTTTTTTTCAAAATTGAAAATCTGACCGCCTTATGAATCTGTTTGTCAATTTTTCCAAATTGCTGACAAATATTTAATAAAAATAATGTCATCTGTTCCCCAACCAAACATTCAATGTCCGAGCTTTGTTCATCCTCCATCATTTATCACCTACGACATGACACCAGGATTTATGAAGACCTTATCCATTGCACCATGTGCCAAATCAATTTATTTTTGGTAAGCCTACACTAAATTAATTTGGGATATGAGATTTTTATGGAGAACTTGTCTTCCTTTTAGAATTAAAATGTCTTCAACTTCTTTGGCTTCACAGGGCTTTTTTATGGACATGACAAATTCCATTTTTTTGTTCAGAAAGATATTCATTCACAAATTTAACACATATCTAATTCCACATTTAAAGGTGTAAATAATTACTGTTTTTGCAAAAAAATATCTTGTTTTATGTTAGGAAATCAAAATGCAGCATCAATTTAAGTCTTTTCTCTTTTCCCCCAAATCTTTGAAAAGTTTAATACCCAGGGGCTTTGTAAGCACATTTAATGCAAGTATTTTAGATGAAATATTTTGTATTTAACACCTTAAAACAAAATTCTTCACAAGACATTTGAAGCTTACAGATAATTGGAGGCAGTATCAAGTTTGCCATTATAATTTTACAACTGTGTTAAACACATAAATCCAAAACGAGGAAAAGGAATATTTAAATATTATTCAAGGCAAGAAATTCTCATCCTTTTTTCTCAGATATTTATCCACTGTATATGCCATATGATTCATACATGTATGTAATTGAAGATGATATTGGTTTCGTCAGTTAGAGCATGTTAGCAATTACCGCGGGATGGGTAGAACAAGTTCCCCATCACTGCCAGTGGCCCTGTATCTACAAACCCCTGTGACCCCTCCCCACCCTCCTTGACAAGAACAACGCTGATGAAAGTCGAGATAAAAGCATCTTAACATTCCTATCAAAGTCTACAGGTGAAATGACTTAGCCAAGATAATCATTTGATTAGCAAACAGAATTGTTTCTTTGCTGGGGAAATTAATGGGGACTTCCAATATACCTACAATTGTTCAGAGCAAAAATGACGGACATATGTGAGAGTTTGCTTGCCACTAATGCATGTCTGTTGGTCTGCTTCATTGCTACGGAAGTTCACGGTTTATAAAAACAAATTAAAGATAAGGTTACATGATGCTTTCATGATTATAGGTCTTTGACTTTTTGAATGTATACAAAAGGATTAAGTGCTTTTTAGCCATATGCAGAAAGGCAAAAAGTGACCCTCTGGTGCATTTATTATTCCACTCCAAGCAATACTACGCTAATATTGTAGAGTTGTACAAAATCATGACCTTTTGGTAAATATATAAATTAAATTATAACCAAAACCAATAGAGGCAATAATATAGGTATTGAGGTCAGAAATCATGATTGCAGTCAAGTTTTGATAAGAGTAATATGCATTGATTGCTGTATATTGGTCTGCAAGAGGTGATTTTTAGGATTCTGCAATTCTTGGTATATTATAAAACTATATATCTAAACCATAGCAGATGTCAAATGCTTTATATATGTTTCATGGATGCAGCCTTTTAAGTTTATGTTGCAAATTCAGGTTAAAAAAGAAGCCAGTTTTCTAAGAATTTTAAGTTGCAATGATTTCAGAACAATATGGGTCATGGCTGCTGTGAACTACATGAATACCTCCCAAAAACTTCCCATTTTCTGATGTCACATTTGATGCCATTCCAAGCTTTTAACCATCAAGAAGTTTTAATTACCTAGAGCTAAAAGTTGAAGTTTTACACAATTTTGTAGACATTGCTTACCAAGGTTTGACGGAATTCCACAAATTACACTGAGAAGCGAAACTGTTTGATGTTGAACAGAGAACACTCTACATGAAATAATGCACAAGTGTTGTCTTTAGCATTGTTCCTTGTTAATTTCAAAGCAGCCGTGTAATTTGGTTCATGTAATTTTCAAGAGGCTTATGAGCCAATCACAGATGCAAGAGGGATGAAAAATTGGCCAACCCATTCTATTTGTGGTAGGTTTCAAATTTTATTTGTACTGACATGAACAATAGCTTAAGAGTAAATTGTTTGTCTGCCAAGGTAGTTAGCCGAGTCCTGTAGCACTTCAGATTGGCTAAAACTTTCAAAAGATCCGATGCCAGATCTAAAAATGCCAGGTCTAAAAACTCTTCATATACAGCTTTGGTAGAGCCAAGTAATAATTGGTTCAATCAGTAAACTCTTGTTCTATTTTAAAGAAAATGTAGTTCAAATATTTCCAGAATATATACTACTTACGAAAGCTAAGAAATCGTTCAGCTATTGACAAGTGTCTGATAGACTCTGAGACTACAGCGTTATAAGTAAAACTGACTAATCCTCTTTGGCGAAAATTTATTAAGCTCTACAACATAATTGGACATCTTGGAACACATGCTCAAGCAATGATCAAGACAAAATAGGGTTGGAAGGTTAGAAGACGAGTGACAATGTTAAAGATAACACTGATGTATCTAGCAAATAATTGTGAAACTTGTGGCGTTAAATTGTAAAAAATGGCTACTGCTGGCCATTTCGATGGTTATCGGTTGAAAAATTACCAATTTTGTTTCTCTAAAAAGTCTTTTAATCCAAATGATGTATGTATAAATCCTGATAAAACTTGCTTTACATTTTTCACTTCAAAAGAATGTGTACTTTCACTTTTTTGAATATGTACAAAATAAATCTCTGCTAACTGCAAATTTGTTTAAAGGGGCCTGGAAATTCTCAGATGTTGGGTATGCTATCTAAAATACATATGTAAAAGGGAGATAAATGTGGCTTTGTGTGTCTTCTGTCAACAAAGAAACAGTGTAAAACAAAACAGGCATCTGGGCTACTTATCCATTGCGATAAGACCTCTCAGAAAAATGGGCTGTCAAATTTTTCAGCTGAAACCAGCAACATAATTAGTGGTCATTAGGAGAAATGGCAGAAAGATATAGAAAACCATACAACACCAAGGTCTGGTGAATTTATAAAAATCTGAAATTACTTCAGACCCATTACAGAAAGAGCAAGGAGAATCCAGAACATGAAAGGGCTTTTAGTCATCATTTGTGTGCAGTATTCATAATGGGTCTTTTGGTATTGCATGGAAACAAATTATTCAATTTCTGACAAAACATTTAATCTGCTCACAAACAAGCTGTATAGAAATTATTAGTCAACAGTGTTGAGGCAAGGGTCAATTCCTTAAGGCATCTAAACCACTCGATACAAAAAGTTAATATTTGCATTTAAAGTTTTATTGCGGATTTAATCAAGCTTTAAAAGAATGGGGATTGCATACAGTTATGATGTGCTTGCAGCTGACACTAATGTGAGAAATTGATTTTTACTGCAACACTTTTTTCTTCATATTTGCCAATTTTATTACGATATTACTCATTTTCATGGAATTATCTCAATGTTCAAATATCGTGTTCTGTTGATAAAAACAATTAAAGAATTATTTTTACCAGAAATATGCATATTTACACTGCATTTGAGATGATTATTTTGATTAAAAATCTTTATGCTCTTATGACACATGACGGGGTGCATGATCCTTGATAAGGCTTGATTTATACAGAAAAATTTAGGAGGCTGAGGAATAAAAATAGTCCACATGCTGAAAAATGTAATAGCCTTTTCTATAGCACAAGACAGCATCATTTTTTTTTTTAAAAAGAAAACAGATGAGATATGTCAATAGGCCTGAAAGACAGTAATAAAATATCTACTTCAATGACCTCCAGGCATGACCCCAGTGGTTGGAAAATTTCACCTTTGACCTTGAACAACACTAAATGCTGTAAAAACCCCTCAGACACTTCATTCTAATAGAGGTGACTAATGAGCAACATGATCCCACTTTACTTGACAAACTACCAGTACATGTACACATTTTTTTCTCCCTTGAAACATTTAATTGTAATAAGCATAAGAATATTTCTCCAAAAACTGATTCTATCTTTTTTTCCTTTTTCTAATAAATAAAAAATCAAGAGTAGATTAAAATTTCAGATGCTTGTCTGTTTATCTGTTTAAATGATACAGATGTTAGATGTTAATACTGAATTTCTATGACATCTTTTGGTCAAGGTGTGGCCTGGGATAAATATGAAAAAAAATTTTAAATCAACTTGAAGCAGATTATTTTTTTTAAATCACAATTTTGTATCAGTTTTTTTTAAGCAAGTGGGAGATGTGAGAAAAGGTTAATTACATTGGAAGAAGAATATGTCCTGATTGACCAATGTGCCATATATTGTAGATTTCTGATGACGTAGATAAACAAAAAAAAACAAAAACAAAAACAACAACAAACAAACAAAAATAAGAATTCAGACAATTTAAATTCTACATCATATTGCGTCAGAGGTTGACAAAATAAAAAAAGGTATAAAATGGATAGAGACCAGGTGTTCCATTTTGATTGAGCACTTGTTTGAATTGGAGGCCGATCCTGAACAATCCATTCTACTTCATAATACATGTAAATTTGTCGTGAACTTTTTATTTATACGGCCAGTACTGAACAAGGGAGACATAATGTTTTACATGCCTCTGTTTCCGAATATGACATGGCCGTAACATATCATTGGCAGACAATTATCTATCTTGTGGCCCATGCATCAACCAACTAGCAAACCTTGTTTTCAGAGAATAGGTGGAGCATTTTTATGTTATTTTCGATGTCTATGGGAAGAATTTGATCATAATTATCAATCTTCAGACATATCAACTAGGTCCAACTATTTATTTTCAATTGTTGAACCACAAAATTTTATCATGTTTCAAGAAAAACAAGTTCATGGCCCTGCCTTAATTTTTTTTTTTCAAGATAAATTTTTGAATATGAAGTCGATCATGCTGGTTAAGAAAAGTTGAATATTTAACACTGCAAAATCACAACTTACAATCTTAAATTAATCAAAAATTAAATTCATTTCTTAACTGTATTCACTTATTCAGTGCCTCCTTTCTTTTTCAAATTCAAATGACGTACATCTTGAACTTCAATATACATGTAATTTATATGGAGATTTACTTTAATTCACATTTGGTTTTGTGGAAACATATATATGAGACAATTAAAGATTTAACATTTGATTTTGTGGGAAAAAATACACAATTTAAGACTTGAAAATCAATAATTCAGAAAAAGAAAGTCCCTACAAAAACCAGATACTACATGTAGCTGTTAATTGATGTAAACCCATTAGTTTTCGGCTAAAAGAAATAATTAAAGTCTCTTCGTTTATTAATTTTTATTTCAGCACTTAATCATAGACAATTTTTACACACACAGTCATAAAACAAATGTTTATACTGTTTCAAGGAACCACTACATAAAAACAAGTATGTTTTTTATCCAAAAGGAATTTGTGATGGTTTTATTTTCTATTCTGTTCTTCGTCAACAGAGATATTTTATGGAAGACAATTTAATGCTCTCAGATTAACACAAGGAAGACAACTCCAACAAAATATAGAATAACTGAAAAAGTTAGATATATATGTAGCTATAACGGTAGATATTAGAATATAAGACCGTGAATCACATGTTTAAGAGGTATAGAAATGTTGTAAAAAGAATTTTTAGTATTTCAATACAGTCCCTATAAAGCAGTTCAATGGTTTTCATTTATAATTACATACATGTATAATTTATCCAAACATTAATTAATTTTTTCCTCTTGAAGACTTAATTATGAGTCTTTAATGTTTTATTTGATTTGAATGTATTTTATTGCAATTTATAAATACAAAGGGATTGGGCACTTTTAACTTTATTTGCCTTCTCTACATGCAACTTACCTTTTGTAGTCATATATTCAACATAAGAGCAGCAAAACAGGGGAGGGGAAAGGGGACTTGAATCTATATAGAGTCTATAATTGCTGCCAAGAATTTCAGCAGTAAAAAATTTAATAACTCATAAACCTAGGCTTCATAGTGTGGTTAAAATGCTTCCATACAGAGGGTTTTTCAAATGATCTCCTATTTACGGAAGCCATGATGTCTTACACAATCAACGTAAGAGCCAAAGCACTGCAGAACTGGATCTACATACACATCAAAATTAATTCAATAAACAGACAACCAAAATATCTACAATCTGCCAATTTCCCTCAAACCCTCCTGCTTCATCCAATTCTGGTATTTTTCTGTTTCACTTATCCGAGCTCGTTTATTTCCAATAATTTGATCTTTCATGATTGTAAGCGATAATTCTTTGCTGAATTATCAGATAGTTTGTATGTAAGAGTTCGATTAGATTGTCAGTTGCTCGCATAACCGAATTAGGAAAAATTCTATACCCATAATCTACAAAGTAATGAATTTGGTTATGTAATATTTCATTTAATTAAGGGAGAATACCAAATATTTTGTAGTGATTTCTTAAAAGTAATGAATTGGAAATTATTGAGTTAAAAGAAATTTAATTACGGCTTCAAACTGTATTCATCTGGATAAAAGCAAATTTGTCATCAAAACTATTTACAAAATTGACGTAGAGAAATAAATAAACTATGACAAATGCAGGAGAAACCACATGTTGATTAATGCTTAATTGACATAAAGCATTTTTTATTGGTCATTTTATTCAAAGTGCAAGTTTATTGACATTTTGAAAGTCAGTTCATTGGATATTTTTCCCTCAGCTGACTTTTTAAAATCTACCTAAAATTATTTCAATTGAAACATACATTCTTGATGAAATGTAACATTTATTACATATACATGTGTTCATTTCTAAACTTTATAAAATTTTATCAGCTTCTAAGATAAGTAATACACCACATTCCTCCCCTATGACATTATCACTGACAGATATATGTCATGTATCTGATTAAAAGAAGACATTTTGAACAACATCTTTCCAAATTCTTTGTTTTATTTCAAGAACATCTTCCTACAAAATAACATTATCTGCTATAATTTTAATATATAGGTGTTCTTTGCAGACAGACAGGGTTGTTTTCAGGAAGTGTATATACACCAAGCCATGCAGCTAGGTTACCTTTATCTTCAACCCTGATTAGATTAATCAAAAATTATGAGCAGAATTTCTTAATCTTTTAAATCGAGTAAAGCATCATGGATTAAGCCGGATATATGCCAACATGAGTTCTGATTGAGCCAGGGTTTACTGAAATGAACCAAACTTTGTTTTCTGAGGGGATCCCATCTCTAATTTGGTAAATTGGCAGAAAGAGTCTGGAGTCTATAATTCTGTGAGCATTCCGAAAACATTTAAATATTGCTGTTTACATGTAGGAATCATCTTTTTAATTAAAGCAATGATTAATACACTACATTCTTGACTGTTTTCTTAGCTGGAGAGGGAGTTTGTAATGATTATTGACTTACTGGAAACGAGACCTGCACTTAGTGTTTGGTGTACCGAAATTGGTCAGGGTCTCCTTCTCGATCTCTACGATGTTAGAAACAGTGATGTCTCATAAATCGTGACCCCCCAAACAAATCCTACTTTGCAATGTAAACAGTTGCTCCTTGGAATAGTGGAAAGAATTTTCTCCCTCAAAAAGGCTAGTGATATTTGTTTGAATAAAAAACTTGCCAAACAAAGTAATTGCAAGGAAAGGAATTAAGGCATCAAAGATCACTTACAGATAATTGTCATAATTTAGATCACTATTGTCTGGATTAATTAGGTTCTCCTATATATCAGATCAACTACTTTCATGAGTAAAGTAAGTCAGTGATACTATCATGATGTAAATTTTGAATTTAATCACTAGGGGGAGGTAAATGCAAAATTTACAACATAATATCACATGCTGTAAATTTTGCATTTACTTCCCCTTAGTAAATTCAAAATTTACAACATTATAATTCTGAAATATGAGGCTAACATACGTGTCTGACACAATTCAATTCTTGTAACTGTATTGAGTTATGGACCCAGTAGCTTACCTGGGAAGTCAGCGTCGGTGTTGGAGACAACCATGTCTCGGGGTGGGGCGAATCTGGAGGCGGCAGAGAGGAAGGAGCCGTGTTTCCTCTTGGCCTCATCCGTCCTGGGCTTGGTCCTCTCACAGGTTCGCAGCTGGGACTGCTCATAGGACTGGATGACTTCGTAGGACCCAGGGGGTGGCATCTCCTACAATATAAACATGGAAAATGAAGCATATGCTGATCTTCAGAAATGTTCTGTTTTTTGGGAGGTTTTTTAATACAAAAAGTGTTTGTGAAACACTATGCGCCCGGCGGCAACAAAGTTTGGAAAAACTATTTTTAGCATACAGGTCAAAGTCACAAGGTCATTGACCTTGGTATCATTTAAAAGAACTTGATTAGTGGAGTATGCATACCAAATATGAAGTCTCTATCTTTCATGGTTCGAAAGTTACGGTTAATGTTCAAAAAAGCTATTTTTCGCTTATAGGTCACAGTCAAGGTCACGTGGTCATTGACCTTGGTGTCATTTGAAAGAGCTTAATGAGTGTAGTAGGCAAACCAAATATGAAGTTTTAATCTTTCATGGTTCAAAAGTTATGGCAAAGGTTAAAGTTTGCAGACAAACAGACAAACAGACAAACAGACAGACAGAAAGACAGACAGGACAAAAACAATCTACGCCCAAGATCAATAATCGATCTGGGCGCATAACGATAATAATCATAATAATGATAAAAGTGTAACTTAAATCTTTGGGACTATAAATTTCCCAGAAAAATGTCATCTGCACTGAATTTTATTTTTATTCAACTGAATACATACAAATTATAGATACTTCCTGCATGCATTTTGCAGTATATCATGAAATAAGATTAGTAGAGGTGTAATATTTTTGTTTATGAAAATAAGACTTTAATTGTTACAATACTTTGTTGCAAAATGTTCTGGAAGGATAGAACACAATGAATATAAGATGGAACACAGAGATGGCATTGTGTTCTATCATTTCATGATCCCGTCCACAAATGTTACAGGACTTTTAGGTTATCCTTATCAGTATTGATACAGCCAAAACGTATGAAACAGTCCTTAACCTAAAACAGTAGTCCTTCAACAAAAACAGCTTCAAAGGAAGGCAGCCAAAAATGAGGTACTTGAAGGAGAGGGTTTAATCCAGGTTTGGCATTCAGAGATTATACTAGCCCTTGAGAACTGAACATACCTCATTTACTGATCAATAATGGATAAAAATGACCAAAACTTAATTTGCCAAGAAAACACAATTATACAAGAACAAGTAAACTGCCTGCCCAACATTTAGGCTTCTATAAGTTTGTGTAAGAAAACTTTCTGATGAAGTGCCCTGACCCCTGCAACTTCTACATTAGTGAGTTTGGCAACCGAATTGGAATTGTCATCTTGAAAAACAAACACAACTTGATATTCATTAAATTTTTAGCGAGCAGAGTGGCTTGTATATGGAATTTTTGTCAAACTACCTCCATGTCTTGTATATATGTTAAATGTGGGGTTTTAGTGTAAAAGTACATGCCTTGGGTACAGGAGAGATAAGGAAATGTTTGAAAATTTTGTATCCACTGTTAGAATCAGCTGAAAAATTGGCTTCCATTACTGTCAACAATAAAAGATTTGGTTTGTCTGCGATTAGAACTTTTGAAATTTATTTCAGAAAGATGTTATAGAGTCAGGTGTTTGTACATTAAATCTTTTAAACTATTTCTGACTTTAAAAAATCTGAGAACAGCATTTTGATGGCTAGAGTTGCTCGAGATAACTTTTGAGATTTTATGGTGCTAACAGTGCTATGATGTGTCAAAACTTCAAAAACAAGCCATAGACTTTACAGCATCATGGCTACCACACAAATTTGTCTCTGTCTCATCACAGTCAAAAAAGAAGACTGCTTAACCATAAAAAACATCCACAGAGCACAAGAACTGGTAAAACATAAAACAAAAAAACCAGAATGGTATCATTTTCATGGGCTGGTACATAACCTAATTGTCTGCTACTGCAACCTAGCTGTTTTGGTCAATTAGCACGTTCAAGAATCATTCACCAGTACTACAAATAACAAACCTTAATCTGATCATGAGATGGGGAAAGGTTTTTTTTCTATCGCTAAAATGCCGTAAAATATTATCCCCGTGGAGACTTAATACCTACAGCCATAGCACCATGGATTACATCATGTATACTTCCAGGACAGCAGTAATTTGTCTCAAATTCCCCCGCAAAAAACTTCCGACAAAAGCTTCATGATTCAGAGAGATATTGCATAACAAAAATTCACAGAATCAAAAGAAACAATATGTACATACATTTCTCAGATATTGATACAACTGAGTCATGTTCACAGGAGAATACAGAGATATGTTTATAAATGTCAAATTCTGGGTACCAAAGTGTGGAAGATAATTTTGCTATTACTAAACTCTGTTATTAAGTTTAAATATTTGAAAACTTAATCACCATAGATGTTAGAGATCAATGTTTACAAAACTATATCTTTTTTAAGTCATACCAATTTTCAAAAGTACATAATAAACTTTTTAAGTTCAAGATACAAACTTCCTACATTTAAAGAGTTGTGGGGAAAAAAATCCCTAAACAAAATTGTACTGTGTGGACCTTAGGACTCTGGCATTGAGAAATGACCAATTTTTTTCAATTCTGATAAATCACATCCCTGCAAGATCCCCCGAAATGGTAAGTTGTCCAGATATACAAATGAAACGTCCTGATTAAATTGTCCATCTTCTGATACTGTAAAGATTGTAGGAGAAATCTAATAACAAAAGAATATACATCACGGTGGCCCTGACAGGACTTACAACACAGAGCAATATATAGCGCCAAAAGCATTTCATAAATATTCCTTGTTTGATTGGGTTTTGGCTGAAGGATTCAATTTGCTAGACAAGTCCCTCTTATCAAATTCTGTATCAAGATGGAATCCATCTACAAATAAGGTATTAGCCATTCTTCTGTAAATGCAGTAGGCCTGTAGTTTTTCGGCTGTTGCGGGTTTCTGTGTTTTTTTTTTTCGTTGCAGCGGCAGACTGATGTCAGATTTTATGGTAAAATCATCAATAAAATGGACTGATAAGAAGCAGTAGAGAGCAAGGGAGGATTTTGTGTTGATACAAAGCAGACTTCAGTACCAACCCAAGATAAAAGAGACATTTCTCTTTAAATTTTTTTATTAGACTATTTGAACTGTTGAATGTTGAGAGAAATAGTCTCCTGATTTTTTAGAATTAAAATATTGCAATATTGTTGAGATTAAGAAAAAATTTCAATGTTTATATGATGAGACATTTTTTATGTGGTAAAGTTTAAATTCAGTTTGAAAATTTGTAAATTAACTTGCATGCATACATCTTTTTTTTTTTCTTTTCAAAAAACACAGAAAATGCGATCTTGATATATCAGAAATATGGAAAGTTTGACAATGCTGAAATGACAAAATTGACGAATGACTCATTGACTGACAAGGATTTCATTCATCAGTTTTCTCCTTTTTTTTTAAAGAACAATGTACTAGTATGGTGCACACCTTAAAGTTTCCAGACACTAGCTTTATTTCTGAAATATCAAATCCTAATATTTTCAACCCTTTATTACAATAACCATGTTTACAGTTTCAGTATTGATTTTGAGCAAATGCTCTGAAAATTGTGTTTAATCCAGGTTTATCTTAAATGTGCACTTTGATATTAAGTACTTTTATGAATATTTTTATTATGCCCTGCTAGTAAAATGGTTATGTCATATTGCAAAACGATTCAAATGTTAAGTGTACTTCTAGAAAATTTCCTTCCATTTTTATCTTCAAAATAGAGGAACAATAAAACCAAATGTCTTGATTTTGAGTCAATTAAACTGAGAGACAGGAACAAGTATAATAATTTACAACAATCAAAAGTGGCACCAAATACTTGACCACTTCTTGATTCTTGTATTTTATAATGTATACAGAAAAAACTTGTTGAAGGCAGGTTTTCTGTCCTTTTATATAATGGACCAGTCTGCCTCCTGTATATATGACATTCCATCATCTTGTGCACAATGCACCCAGCAGACTACATCTGCCCCATGTAAATTTCAAGTTTGTTAGCATTCTTAATGAAAGATAATTGGAACTTGGCTCCAGGGCTACATTTTTAGCTTCCTAAAAACAAGGGATTTTAAACAAGTTTACGATTTCAATGGCTTTAGTTTTTGTTGAATGTCTGCACTTTAATGAAATATTGTCTGCCATTAATTCATTGTTTACAATAGTGTTGTAAATTTTATTTTTCATTGATGTTGAAATTATACTTGAAGTTGAGAGGGAATTTGTTTATTTATGATTTAAATGGATGAAATAATTCTTGGAATAAATAAACAAGTTGAAATAATTTACTTTTCTAAGAAAAAGTTATAAACAATGGATCTGGAAGATGCAGCAAAAATGTATCTAAGTTGTAATTCAAATTAGTTCTTAAATTTCTTGTTTTAAGGAACAAGATAAGATTTAAAAAGGAAATTAAAGCATAGTTTTCTTAACTTTTTTGATATCAGTGATAGAGTGAAAAAATGTTAAAAAGTGAAGGAAAAACCTCAAGTTGAACATTATGTGTAAATGCAATTAAGATGACTCAATAAAGTTCCTAGTGTGTCTCAAACCTACTTTGTAGAAACTGTGACTTTTCAGAATGGGCTCCCAAATTATCACACCAAAAGGCATCATGGGAAATTAAGATGGAAGACAGTCATAGCTGAATATGACATACTCCATCAAAAAATTCAGAGGAAGGTGAGAAAAAATGATGGATAGTACTCTATTAGATACTGGGAGAAGTAATTGATTGCCATGGTTTAACAGAAACTCTCATCAATTTCTCAAAATCACACTGATAAAGCAAGAAAGATCAACTGAACATTCATGAGAACATTTGAACTCAGAATTGGAAGTCTGATTGCAAAAAAAAAAATATATCATATTAATCAAACAATAACTCAATCATGCTGTAAAGCTCCAATCAAATATTCTGTTTCAATGTCAACTACCCTCTCCAGTTTCACAGGAAAATACTTCCTTTCATGGACTTTATACTCCTACATAACCACACTTTCGGTTATAGTTGAAAAGTACACCACTATACATCCTGCCTTGACTGATGATGCCTGCAAAGCATATCCCACTCACAGGCCATTAGAAGATGCAAAACACCACTCAGGGGACAAACTCAGGAAGAACTGAGAGCAGATGATGGCTTCTAACTGAAACTAACCCTAAAACCATCACCAAAGTCGGATCATATTTTCTGACTACTTATGGATTTTGAATAGTTCTGCTCTTGCATGATATCCTAATTGTTGAGTGTTGACAAGTTATCTTAACTGCATATTTATGAAGTTTGAGCCACCAGTACAGATCATATGCACTTGATATTCAATTAAGCTATTCATGATAGTTTATTGTGTAATCTTTGTAAACTCTGCATAAAATCGAATGATTGACCATGAGTTTTTGCTTGTCAGCAGTTTTTTAAGGATACTACAGAGAGGTTTCTGACAAATGCTAGAGAATAAGTCAGTGGAATCTTGTTTGTCATTAACAGGATATGATAGATGGTTTATGAATAGGACATATTTTATTGAACAATACATTTTGAGGGGTATAATTTGGTGTATAACTGGACAATGAAATAGGAGGTTTTGTGATAAAGAGATACATGTACTATCACTAAAGCACCTACCAAAAAGGTTTTTTTTTTGGTTTGAAGTTAAATGGTTTGCAAATAAATGGTTTTTGCCACAGGTACTTGTGGACATATTCAACCCCGGGGCTTATTGGACATTTTTTTCACAAATTATATTTATTACACTTATTCATCATGTGTACAATATGAAAAAATCCTCAAAACCCCAAGATAATCGCTCCTCAAAAAAAATACCCCACTATACATTATAAGAGAGAAAGGTATGCAACTCCCGTTTGTTTACGTTGTACCCCCACTGGTCTTTCTGGGTTTAAAACATGTATTTATTTTATTTCAACCTGAAATGTCGATTCAAACCGTCTCTACATTTATTTCTGTCATAGTCCATGCTATCGGATTGACTCTGCATCTCGTAAAAATCCCACAATATCTTATTAAACAGCATTCCAGTCAGAACGTTGAAATTTCCTTAGGTTCGCAACGGAAGTGCAAAGAGAATGTTTCACTTATTACGAAAACGTCCGAGAGAGTTTTGGCCTGACGTAATAATTCCTCTCGGGTGTTATCAACATTCTTTATGCACTTCCGTTGCTTTTACTAAGGGAAATTTCAACGTTCTGACTGTAATGCTGTTTATTGTGGGATTTTTACGAGATGCAGAGTTTTGGACTATGACAGAAATATATGTAGAGACGGTGTGAATCGACATTTCAGGTTGAAATGAAATAAATACATGTTTTAAACCCAGAAAGACCAGTGGGGGTACAACGTAAACAAACGGGAGTTGCATACCTTTCTCTCTTATAATGATTGGGGTATTTTTTTTGAGGAGCGATTATCTTGGGGTTTTGAGGATTTTTTCATATTGTTCACATGATGAATAAGAGTAATAAATATAATTTGTGAAAAAAATGTCAGTCCTGTCCACAAGTACCTGTGGTTTTTGCACAAGTTTTTCATATTTTGAAGTAATTTTTCTGACTGTCAGTAAACTATTCAAAGATTTGAAAACCAATACCATTTCAGTGACAAACAGTTATAAAGAGCCATACTGGTTTTAATCAGCCATTTTGTTACTATGACTGATGACATTTTACTCGGCTTTACTGTAGCAAATAGTTTTTCAACCCTTCCTTTACTGCAATACCTTAATTATTGTAGGCTGTTCTGGAAGTCTGGCTGTCACAGAGGAGAAGTTAGATGTCAGGTTCTGGTATCGGTTTTGGAATGGTTTTTCCTTGACCTGGTAATGAGCTGGTCCCGGTACTTCGGTTTCATCCTTCTTGGTGATTGGTTTGACTCTGACCGAGGTGGTGCCAAACACACCTTTTCTGGTGCTCTCTATGTAGGCTTTCCTCATGCTATCAGATCCCATTCCGGTCAGGTTATAGGCACCAGGTCCTAAAATTAGAGTCCAAAAATTTCATTAATAAATTACATGTACTCTATATCTGGAACTTGAGATTAGCTGGATACAGCGTACCTCCTTGCGGAAATACATATAAGAAAAGTTATTTTCTAAATTTCACCCTAAAAGAGTCAAAACTTGCCACCTTTCTTGCACAAATAAAAATCTTACTCAAACACATAATAAAAAACACAATATTCATAAATGAGTCAAAAACAGTAAACCATCTCCGAAGATTTAAATCTTAAAATTCAATTTGTGTTGCCTGTGGATTACATTTGACGTTTGAGAAAAATATCTTGAGAAAGAAATTAAAACCACAATTAACTTTGTGACATTTTGAAGACACTGCATGCATGAGTAGTGTGAAGCCAAACACTCAGAGGAATGAGATGATGAGTCTGAGATCGAGTCAGTCCCAAATGATGGCAGAATCTTCAGGAAATAATGAAAATTTATCACATGTGTGCTTGATCACTCTGAAATGACTCATTTCCCAAGCTTTAAAAAAAGGAAAATGGAATAATTTCAAATTGCTTGGACATTTTATTTATGTCTTAAGAAGATGGCAGCACACAATTTTTTTATGCATAATTGCTTTTAATACTTAATTCATTTTTTAAAAGTTTGTTTTAATTTTTCAACAGAAGTTATCACATTTTAGAAATACATTTCTCTCATTATCTTAAAACTACTTCTTACATACTGTAAAATCACATATTTTCGTGGGGTCAAATTTTTGAGGTTTGAAAAAGAAATATCTGTTTGTGGGGATTTGAATTTGTGGTTGTCTGGAGAAATGTTGACTAGTAATGCATATAGAATTTTTACATTTTGTGGTGGTCATAAATGAATTCGAAGGTCTCTCCACACCTCGAAAACAGCAAAAATTAAACTCCCATGTAAATTATTGATTTCACAGTATATGAAGTACAGCTAAAGCATAAAATTTCTATCAAATTACTATCAGCAACAATATTTTTATGATACATTTTTTTTTCCTCTCAAAAAATAAAAAATTGAAAATTAGAAATAAGAATTCTTTTTGACATAGGTAAATATTTTTTTTTTTGGTCTTTCTTACTATGCAAAAAGGAGAAGCATATGGCAAAGACCTTAAAACCTGATACTTTGAGAAACATTGTCACATATAACACATGTAATGATATTATCAGGATATTATTCAGATTCCACAATAACTTAGTCTGTCAACCTGTCAAAGGGTAAAATACCAGAAAACACATAAAAAACAATTACTTCTGGGGATTCCATATGGCTCATAAGATGGGTGTATAGAGGCAAAATGTCTTCCCCCCATTCCCAGAAAAGTCTTATGGCCAGGCTAACACAGGGGGTGACATTTTTCAGACCCCCATTTACCCCTCATAAAAACTCCCTGACAATTCTTAATGTCCGAGCATCTGGGCTCAGCTCTAAATTTGTGTGATGCACATCTCTGCAAACATGGAATTTATGAGTTTTTATGATGAGAACTAAAAGGTTGATGAGACAAGAGCTTCATCAAGATTGTTATTATATTAGAGTTGAGAAAAACTCTGACATTTAGGGTTGGTGTCAGGTTTCTTCTTTGTTTCTGGCCACCCAAAAAATAATGGAATCCTTATCTATGAATCTTCATTACTGTCACAAGCACATTCTGTCCTAAAACTGGGAATCTGGAATTGTCCCCCAAAATTACCTCACAATCCCTCATTACAGCTTTCTAATTAGAAATTATGTAAACTGGGAAATTATGCACATGAGATTTGGTGAGATAAATCTTCCTCCATCTTGTTAATACATTGTTCTAAAAAAAAAGTTCTTTTCCTCTAGAATTTTATTTCAAGTGATCCATGATCAAAAATAACATAGTGCCTACAAATTTTATTTTCAGGGAAAGAAGAGTTTTTTTCCAACACCTTTATATAAAAGTACTTTGTTATATGACGAGGCCCTTATTAACAATAATTCTCAAAGGACACACTGCCTACATCATCATCACTGAAAGAGATAAAAATCTCTCAAAATATTCCAAGCCGAATATTGGTTTTTTGACTCAGTTCTAACAATTCCTTTCTTTGATTAACACCAAATCTGAAGCTTTTTTTTGCATCAGGGAAGTTTACATCAGTCCTGCAACAGTTCACCTGGGAGCTAAGATACCATCACATCATCTCCTACCACTTTCCCACTAGATGGGAAACTTGGGAATTACTTTTTTTCAGCAGTGAGTTGATTGAATTTAAGCGACAACTAGAGACCAAACAAAGAGGCTGGAAGAATCGGTATTAAAATCATCAACCATTTTATGGCTTTACTCTCTTCTGTTTTACAATTTCCCGATTCATATTTTTTTAACAGCTGGAATTTCCCATCGTTGAATGCAGTAAAGCAAACAAATGTTGAATATCAAAGAAATGATGGTGTGACAGAATGTAGTTATGTTTTATAGAGTAACATTTTTATGTCATCTCTTATATTTTTTTTATTTGCATCAGATAGAGTGCATGGATGAAGAAGTAATTAAAAAAATTAATTCAGAATTTTAACTTTGCATTATAATGCCACCTGAGACAATTTTTCAATATTTTAGATTTGAATAATATATGTAATACGCGAGTTTTGATATTGTAACTCTCCTACAATAGAGGCACAAAATGTATCAGTATCAGCATGGAAGTGGGACAGGTTGTTTGTGTATACAAAAGTGCATGAATAAATGAACAAAGTTTATAACTTTAAAAATTTATTTTTAATGTGATAGAAAGATAATAATGTTAATCAGTGATGCATTTGATGATCTTATCAAGCTCAACTGTGCATATTTACATATCTACTTTCAATTAGGGTACTTGAAAATGAAAGAAATATAGTTGTTTTTAAACAATGTAGAATATTTTTTTGATTGTAAATATACCTTTTGTCTGTTTACAAAAGTTTGTGCACCATTTTCTAAAACTATAATTATTTCAAAAAACATTTTGAAATAAAATCTAAATTAAATAAACTGAAATGTGCATGTTTCCATTCAAAATATGGAATTGTTTAAATTGTGTATAATATTGCATAAAAATGATATCCATATTAACACTATATTTTTGCTATTTTCCATGCATCTCTTTTATCAAAAAACAAAATACTCAAACATTCTAAGAACAATCTTTAAAAAAAAGATTACAATTGTCCACATCCATTTAAAAGGGAGAGAATTCTTAATTTTGTTAAAGCAAATGAGAAAAAGAAAGAGAAAGTTTCTATAAGCAAGCAACAAACAGTTGATGTCACTTCAGATTGAGAATAAAGTGATCGATTCCGTGATATCATTGAATTCATTCTAAATATACCTGGTGTTTTCTTGACATGGGGTTCAGGGTTAAATCTAACTGAGGTCTGTCCAAATGGGGATCTCTTCAGTCCAGTAGTTCTCTTTAGGGTCTCCAGTGCATTACGGGGGTCATTGTATGTACCAGGAGCAGGGAGGGTCTTCTTAATTGGGGTAAATCTCTGCAATCATAAAACAAATAACCCTGAATATGCACTAGAATATTTTTCTGATAAGGACATTGATGTACTTAATATTTCAAAATGATTTGCAGCACATTAGCTCAGCAATCCTACTAAATTTGGATAGAATAAGTAAATTAAGCTCCATAACTATGACAAAGGAGTAAAAATTTTAAATCTTAATCAATAAATTTATAAGTTTTTTTTTTATTTGACTAGGTACCTAGGTAATGGTTTCTGTGGAATCACAATTTCTGTTCAACCCACACGAGGGTAGAAAAATATGCAGTTTTCAAAAGTATTTGAAAAATTGTTGGGCTTTTAACAAACCTTGGCCTGTGACATAAAGGGAGGGTGTTCTACTTCTATTCCCTCTGTATTGACTTTTGGAGGTTCAGGATCAAACCCTCCTTTAACATCATACTTCCCTGGTCCAGGAATGGCCTATAAAAATGATGTTTTAAATTAAATTAATGACAGATTAAGCCAAAACTCTGCTAAAATATTCTTAAATACATATTTAATCATGTTATATTTGTAAATACAAATAATCAAATTACAATGCATTTTGCAAAATATAATTTTCTTTTTTTATTAAATTCTCATGCAGCTGTTTTCCACGAGCTTCCCATGTTGCTGTTTAAAGGGAAACAACTCCTACATATACACAATACCAATAAAACACACCTTCTTCTCCTCATCCTTGACAATTGACTCGTGGTATCTAGGAATCCTGGCCTCAAACCTGTGAGATTCCTCTGTAGCATTCACATTTTCTGCTCTGTTCTGTACATTAACATAGGGCTCATAGTCCCCTGGCCCGGGGCCCATCTTCCCTTTACTGAGGTCCATACGTTTGGAGGCATATTTACTGAAGTGGACACCCTGATATGTTTTTGTGGCCTTTGTAGGATCCTAAAATCAGAAAATTTTAGACTTTTTAGATTTTTAAAACATTTGGAGATTATTGGCCCATTGTTTACATTATTAAATAAATTAATGAAAAGTCAGTTCTAGCAGTGAATATAAAAAAAATCAAAATGTTTTTAATAAAGATTTCAAATATGTGAATCCAACTAAAATATTAGATGTATATATGTATTTATCTCTGAGACTGTAAGATATTGAGACTTTGTCAAGTTCAATTTGAATCGAATTTAATACCAGTTTTACAGAAGATGTGTTTTAAAATGTCCATCTTACTGCAGATGGGTTATAGAAGGCTGGTCCTATAGTTTTATCCTTGTCAGGAGCATCCTGTTTTTTTAGAGTTCCGTCTTCACATTCTTCGTACCCATAGGCCTGCCCTGGCATAGGAATAGAGGGTGCCTCTGGCTTCCTGTGGAATTTGATTCTGCTTGTCACCAACTACAAAAGTATTACAACGATTTTAAAACAACTTTGCAGATATGTTATTTCTTTTTTAAAAAAAAGCATAATCACATAGTGTACACCAAGAAATATCTTTTCTTCCACTTTGATTATAGGATTCCTATGGAACAAAATACAATCATGGAAAACAGACAAAAACAATTCCAGCATAGAAACATGTTTTTCTGTGTAATATGAACCTATTCACTTGCATTTTTATACTACATGTGTATGCATTGCCCCCCTTCCTCCCCCCAAGTAGTTTTTATTCAAAGCCCCCCAAAAGCAACTGTAATAAATGTAACTTGAAATGCTTATTTCAGATTTTTGCTATCTGACACTTACACTTCCAGCATTATTTTTGCCCTGGATACTGCCTGGGGCAGACTTGCTGGCCCTGAAGTCTGTGTACTTTTCTGTACTGTACGTCCCTGGTCCTGGGTTCTCTGGAATCTGGCCCTGGAATCTTTTAGATTTATTGGCCAGTGTTTTTCCTCCCTGTAAAACACAATTTAGAATATATATCTGTGTTGATCTACTACAAGCATGACTTAAAATTTCAGTATTTGTTGGACAACATTATGATACTTACAGGAACAAAATCTTGAGCATTTTGAGGATCATAATGACCTGGTCCAGGGGCTGCAACAACCTGATCACTAACATTTAGGAATGTTTCTCGACTTGTCATAGACAAGAAAGGGGCATATCCATCTGGAAAATAGATCATGCATTTACTTAGATAGATTTAATGTATGGTAAACAATACAAAGATTGTCATTACAATAAAGCTTCAAATGCGATTTTGAGAGAATTTAGCCACATTCAAAGGGCAGAGGAACACTGCACTTACCAGCCTTGAGTTTAGCTCTGGCCAGGGCACTAGTTTCATCTTTCCTGGCCCAGTTAGATTTTTAAAGATTTTTCATATTAATTCCTCTATCATATGAGCCTGGTCCCACATTTCCTGGAGTGGATCCATATGTCTTCACCAGATCTCTAGGAGCTCTGTCATACATGGTGTTTCACTACCTCAACTATAAACAGAATTAAACTCAAACTATTTTAAAAAGTCTATAAAAATCATAACAATGAATTATTTTGTAGTGATAAAGTCTATTAAAAGGGTTGGAGTTGTCATCATTCTTGTATTAGAGGTCAACTCCTTACAGGAAGAAGAATAGAAAAAGTGCTGCGATGTTTATTAAATAAAAGTTTATCTAAATAGGAATGAAATTTCATGTATTTAAGCCTCATCAAATCCAATTTACGATATTTCTGCCTTCTTTGTATCAATTCTTGGGAGCAAGCAATATGTAAAATCGCATACAATTGTCAATATTTACCAAAAAATTGAGAGAAGTCCACCAATTACTGTGTTGCTATGGAACAATATGGCGGAAAGTACCGTACGACTGTCGTAAAATATGCTCCCGAAAATTTACTAATGGTAATATCATAATAAGTATACTAGCAATAAAAATTGTTTGAGTTTAATTAGTCGAATATCTAAGAAAAAATTTTAAAAGACACGAAATTCACAAATTTAAATGTATGTCGTAAAATGTTATGTTTACTTTTTCGGTAGTTGACCTCTGACCTCAGCCGGGTGCTTTGTTACACAATATTCGAAGTTGAACTTTGAAGGTATATTCCATGAATACGTTGAATAAGGGTTTTGTCAGCACTCATTCGAAAGGCATGGGTGTTATTCTATGTATTTATATAAAGGATCTTGTTTGTTTTATTTCCTTAGAGATTTTTTATTGAGTAATTTTGATGTGCATTATTTTCAAATTCAGCTTCAAACATGAGTGCTTACTAAGGCATATAGAAATCACTTTTGGATTTATTCCTGTCTTAAACTTTAATTCTCTCTTTCTTCTTTAAAAGATGTCTAGTTCTCCTTCTGAACCAGATAGAGTGCATTTAGTCACAGGGGGTGGAGGATACCCCGGGTTCAACCTTGGTAAAAAGCTGGCCCAGAATGGAAAGAAAGTTATCCTAGTAGACATCATCAAACCAAGGTGGCCAATGGAGGAAAACGTGTCTTTTATTCAGGTTACATAGAAATTTTACTGTACATATCCATCATTTTCTTCTTAAGTTCATGTAATATTTACAGATATAGAACTGTAATTAAAATCTTCCTAGTACATTTAACTTCAAGATAATGTAACTTCTGAATCAGCAAGATTCGAAGTGACTTAAAAATTTCGTGGAGATGCCAGACTGAGATTTTTAGTCTCTTTGAATTTCACTGAGATAAATAACAAGATCCATCAAAATCAAGTTATAAATTCCCTGTAGCTTCTTCAAAATAGCATTTTGGAAACAACTTTTCAAATTTAATACTGATAAAACTTGGTTATTTAAGTTTATATAAAGTTTTACATTTACAGTGCAATATAGCTCAAGGTCATGAAGTGGAGGAAGCATTAAAAGGAGCAGATTGTGTGTACCACATGGCCTCTTATGGAATGTCGGGGAGGGAACAAGTAAGGTATTTTATCTGTTTCTTCTGACATTAATATCGAAATGAATTCATTCATAAATTACATGTATTATTATAAAATGTACAAATATACTTTGTGTATAAACAAGTATGAAGCGGCAGTGCTTCACAACGAAAAAAGAAAATATTTAATCAAATGGAATATTAATTATCATGGAATATTATGTTTGGAATTTTTTCTTTTTTTAGTTGAATACTAAAGTGATAGAGGCTGTAAATGTAGGAGGAACAGAAAATGTTATCAAAGGTAACATTTTAGAATAAGTGAGATTTGATTGAGGAAAAAGTAAAATTTATCTCCAACTCATATGTCAGACTTCACCATATAAAAAGTGCATGTTTTGGAGGGTAACAACAACCTGAGAGAAATCCCAGTTTTGACTAATGAATCAGAAAATGTTAACAATACATGATTTCATTTTTCTTAGAAGTGTCTATTTCAACTTTCCAAAGCATGCATTTTTAATTTTGTTGTGCTGAATGTATGTATGATGCATAAAATGGTCTGAAATTCTTTTTCAATTCCCAGTTTGAAAGGCTTTCTAGTTAAGTCTGTTTCCATCCATTTTTCTCTGTTAAAAAAAGTGTTAAAAAGATCACTGATCTCTCAGTTAATCATTTAATATTTGTATTTCAGCATGCTTGAAGCACAAGATCAGGAGACTTGTCTACACCAGCACATACAATGTCATCTTTGGGGGTCAGGAAATTCGTGATGGGAATGAATCCCTGCCTTACCTACCTCTTAACAAAGTAGAGTTTTCATTAATACTGTGAAATCACAAAATTTAGTGGGGGTTTAATCTTCCTTGTTTTTGAGGTATGAATAGACCCACAATTTCATGTACACCAAGAAATGTAAAATGTTACATACATAACTACTCAACAATTCTTCATACATGAATTCAAATCCCCCAAAACCAAGACAGATTTTACTAAAACCACGAAGATTTGCCCCATGAAAATATGTGATTTAACAGTATGTGACATACTGTATGCTGTACTTGTAAGTAAATTGATATTGATATATTCAAAATTGAGTGCAATCACTGGATGTTATGAAATACCGCATTATTGTTTGAATCAGAGCCACTATTATTTGAAGCCTACATGCTTTTTAAGTACACTTATGCATACAATATTCAGGGTTTTCCTTGAAACTTTTCAGAACATTATTTACAAGTACCACAGTAATTGTCATTCATTCCATGAGAAGGGTTTTCATGATTTTTACCATAGCAAAATTAAAGTTAATAGAAACCCTGATGTTTAATTAAGACAAAATCAGGGATGTATCTAGTACAAGCTTGACCACCATCCATGTCATATGCAGGAGAGCCTCATTTATCCGGACGCTTTGGTTCCTAGTCTTTTTGTCCAGATATGTGAAGTGTCCGGATATCTGGGTTACCAATTAAACAAGACAAAATAAAGTTTAAAAAATCTGTTATGATGAAAAATCGTCCAGATACTGAAGCATCCGGATATCTGGCGTCCGGATATCTGAAGGTCCACTGTACTTATTCAAGCCTTAGGTCCCCAAGTTTTAAAGATATCATTAATAGGAAATCCCTGTGAATTCCAAATAAATTGAACTTTGTTTTTGAAAACTGTTGTATTACTTTCTTTATTTCACTGCAGCATCCTGATCATTATTCACGAACCAAAAGTATAGCAGAACAAAAGATACTGGCTGCCAATGACCCCGGAGTTCTCCATACCTGTGCCCTCAGGCTGGCAGGGGTATATGGGGTGGGGGAACTTCGTCATATACCAAGGACCGTGGTGAGTGAGGATCAAAATTGTACTTTACATATATACCAGAGTAACAATTGATGAGAAGTTATGTACCTTTTAGCAACCGTTATGTAAAAATAGAGAGAGAAAAAATAGGGTTACTTCCTATGAGTTTTACGTGTAAATTGCCGAAAGGTATATATATAAATGTAGAGCACACACATGCATATGGTTAAATAACACTTCTCAAAGTTTTGAGTAGAATGTATTTAAAAAATTAAAGTGCAAGGTGATTTTTTTTTTAATGAAGAAATATAATATGTCTCTCCAGCACAAGATTTGCCATTTACCACAGATAAGTAACTTTTGTTTGTTTGTTTTCTTCAGAACACAGTACAGATGGGAGCTATGAAGGCCCTGTTTGGTAAAAATTCTTTACAAGACTTTCTTCACGTGGACAATCTTGTTCAGGGACATATTCTTGCAGGACAGGCATTAATGGAGTCAAAGAAATGTGTAGCTGTAAGCAATTGGCCTTTTATTTCATCTTGAAATACTGTATACAGAGAAATTTTTGCCCCTGTTTTATTTTTGCCCCTGTCATCCTTGTCACAAGTGGGCAAATTGAAAACGGGGCAAATTCAAAGAACACAATATAATTTCTTAAACAGAACTGTGACAGGGCGAATTTAAAATGGGGCAAAATTGTTAGCAGGTTTAAAGGGGCAAAAATAACCTTATGTACAGTATTTAAAAGCATGCATTGATTTTGGTTTTTGTTTTTTTACAGGCAGGCCAGGCCTACTTTTTGTCAGATGGTGCTCCTATCAATACTTTTGAATTCTTCAGGCCCCTGGTGAGTTATGTTTTGAATGTTAAAAATATATGGAATGGAAACTTGAGAGAAACTTCCTCAATAATAACTTCTGTATAACGTTTATCCTGTCGATGCTGGTACAGTTGAACTTCAATATCTTGAACTCGAATATCTTGAATACCATGGATATGTCGAAGTGATGTGGAAGTCTCAACCACATATTCTTTTTTACCCTCCATATCTCGAATCCTCAGATATGTTGAAGGTTTTTTCTCTTCAGGTTCTAGATAATGAAGTTTAACTGTATAGTTTCAGTAAGTTGGATTAAAATTGTATTTGTTTTAATTCCGTATTTTCAGCTGGAGGGACTGGGTTACTCACTTCCCAAAGTTTCTGTACCTGTGTCTCTAGTCTATGCAGTAGGTAAGAAAATCATTGTTTATCATGCTTTGATGGATCTTTCCTTTATTAAATGCATGTTCTTGTTAAACATATAGATTACCATATATACTTGCCTATAAGTCGGTCCGCCTATAAGTCAGTTGTATTTTTTAGGTTAATTTGGAGGGATTTGCAATTGACCCGCTTATAAGTCAGTGCAACTTTTTGCCAGAATCATTTCACAATTTCAAACGAATACTGGTTAACCTGGTTTCGATTAATATTTTTAGAAATGATGCCAATATTTAGCGTTAAATCGTTTTGAAAATTAGATAATGCACACTTAGGATAAAAATAAAGTATTAAATACTTTTACTTGATGTATATATAATCTTAGAATACATAAATGTTATGACATATGACATATCCAGACTTTGTTTAACAATCATCGTGGAATATACGTTTCTAAAATACAGTGGACCTTCAGATATCCGGACCCCAGATATCCGGATGCTTCAGTATCCGGACGATTTTTCATCGGAACGAAATTTTTAAACGTTATATTGTCTTGTTTAACTGGTGATTCA